GGTTAGATGGTTCGGTGACTAGGAGAAAAGACGTGGATGTGGGAAAGTGGGGAGATAATCCTGTCGTAGCGTGTGGAGAGAGAAAAAAGACGCGGATATTCGAGAGCGAAGGAGACGAAAACTACCAGCCCGCGCGCCTTGACATCAAAGGGAATCCGTTTTTTTTTTTTTTTTTTTTTTTTTTTTTTTTTTTTTTTTTTTTTTTTTACTTTCCGTTCTTTTTTTACATCCGCGCCTGCAGCTCGTCGCAATATAGCGAGCACTTCAGGATATATTGCCTCGCTCTTGCGTGCTGAAAGAAAGAGAGAGCATCGAATTGTATCGCGTTTTTCGTTGCGAACCGTGAAATTTACGGAAAGTGTGTGTGTACATAGGTATTACACGTTTGATCGTGAGCTTTTTTGAACAAAAAGGCGCGGTCGCGCCTTTTGGACAATTAATAACACCGATGAGAACAGAATGTACATGACGGCGGCAATCCGATCGTTGTTCCACATCGCAAGTGCTGCGGCGCGAGAAAGCAGACAAGCTGTTTCTTTTCGGACGTAGTGAAATTTATTTTGCCGCTAAATCGGCTTGTTTACCTCAAAGGCGGCCGGAAAATTGCGTTGGAGTTGAAAACTCAGTAACTAGATGTTATTTCTCGTGTTCGTAATTTTCTCGGTTATTACGGGTAACGACGGAGTAGTAAACGAAAACTTTGCAGATTTATGACTTTGAATCAATGTTATTTAGCATGTGACAGAGAGAGAAAGAGAGAGAGAAAGAGAGATACGGGAAGACAGAGCGACCAATCAATCGTGCAAAGTGCGCCGAATTGATTGCACGGAAATAACGCCACTTCTTCATTCTGGTGAAATGAATTTTAACGCTTTTCCTAAACAAAAAGGAGGAAAAACGAAAACAAAAATATCGAAAATATCTCGTTTCCCAATTATACTTCGTTTGTTTTTCGGCGATTGATTGATCATAGAGTTTTCCATAGTTAACTCCTCGTTGCGAAAGACTTCGCTGCTAAAGTGCACCCTCGTGCTGACCTGTGCGCAGCGGATTAATTTATTGTCTATTAGCTTTGGAAGTTCGGCGAGTTTGCGTCAGTACTGTCATAGAGAGAGAAGTAACGCGCTTAGCTTCCGCTTTCTGTGGGACAGATAATAAATGATCACAAATTCCCTCTCGTCAGCGTTATTACAGCAAATTCAATGGACTATAATGCAGCGGAATTACTTCGGGTCTTTGCGTATTATATAAACGTCCAAAACTATGCTCGATTGTTGTCGAAACGAGCGAATTTATCCGAAAATGAATGAACAAAATTTATACGGGCCGTTTAAAAATTAGCTACTATTTTTTTTTCTCAAAGGTGACAGAGAAAAGGAAGAAATAAAAAGAGAGGAGAAAAAGAGTTTTGTTCTAAATAAATATTTTATCTTGCATTTACACAATTTCGTGTTATTTTTTCCTTAACTATAAATTTTAATAAACAAATACTTTGCATATTAAAATATCCATTAAAATAACAACAATAATTCATCAATACGTCTCTGAAAAACAAAGGAGCGCTTAGATATTTTTATTTTAATCTGAAGATCCGATTACACAGGAATATTTGCGATTCTGGATTTGTGGAAAAACTTTTCCGGCGTGTAGCTAACGCACGTGGATATTACATGCTATATAGATCGAGAGAGATTTATACGACAGCGATATTAGCGGACTCGAGAGAAGCGCGCGGGACTCGGGAAAAGCACTCGAGCTACTTAACCGCGGGGGTTACCTACTATTTTTGCGGACAGAGAGAGAAAGAGAGACTCGAACTCTCTTTTTTGGCTCTCTCTTCTTATGTACTCTTTTTACCCGTGCCAGAGTAAATAAACGCGAGCGTTTTCTCCGCGGAGTATCTCACGCAAGTTCACAGTGCGCCGGTGAAAAGGTCGCGCGAACCTTTGAAGACGCTGCCGAATGAGGCCATTTGGATACCCGCGCAACTTACTGGGTGAAACGACTCTCGCGCTCTCTCGTCTGCTCGCGAAAAAACGTTCCATTCATGCACTCTCATTCCGATATATTTTCTGTCCTCCTTTTCTGCTCTCGAATCTCTCGTTGCACCGCTTGCCGTTCCTTTTATCGTTTCCATACGCGCTTTTCCCGCGCGTTCGTACACGCGCGTCTGATAGCACTGGACTTTGACGAATGACGCGTTTGTTTTTCACCTCGATCACTCGTCCCCTAGTCATCCTGTCCGGTTCACTCCCTGTTTATCTTTTTTTTCTTTTTTCACGCCTCTCTCTCTCTCTCTCTCTTTTTCATACTCTCTCCGCGCCTCATTTCAGCTCGATCCTTCCTTCCAATCCTTTGCCCCTCTCGCGGTCGTTATCTGCATCTTCCCTTCATTTATTCTAACGGCCAACGTGGAGATTGAAAATGTTGATTCACCGAACGAACTGGGATAATACTACCATCGGCCCACACAGCTGTTTAGAGGCAGATAAAACGTCACTGATTACACAGCGACTCGGCAGCGATGCCATTTACCCTAAAGCCGGCTGGCTGAAAGCAAAATCGCTAGACGTAGGACCGCGGGTTTCTTGATGATGCCGTGTGTTCGCTTCGATCGCAGTAAATTTGCGCGGACAACTAAATCACGGTGAGAGAGAAAACGTTTTCCTTCTTATTTACACAACAATTTCGCGTCAGAGCTTTCGCCGTGCTTTCGGACAATCAAAAACTTTTCAATAATACCGCGCGTTTTGGGAAATCAGTGTGTTCTCCTATTTACGCGACAATCTCAATTACATCCACTAGATCTTCCTTCGTCCTGTCGCGCGAAATTTAATGCTGTACGTACCTCTTCCGCTCGGTACGACCGAGCAGTACTCGAATTATCGCGGGTGTTACAATTGACCCCGAAGCTCTCTCGTACACGTAACCGCAATTTCGAGCTCGGACGACGACATAAATTTCAATCGAGCTCCGTCGCTAAATGCGCGACTCGTTTATTCTTCAGAATACCTTTCTCTCTCGCGCACGCTCGCGCGTTATAAGATGGTCTCCGTTGAAAAGCGATATCCCCTCAGACATTCTTTATTCCCGCGTGTTCCCCTCTCTCCGCTAACTGCGGGACTCACGTATAGATCCACGACGGCTATTACATCGATTCCTTCTGATTGCGAGCTCTCAAAGTAGCGGAAGCTCCGTAGCTTTGTGCACTCTCTTGGTCCTTTCTTTCCGCGCACGACAAAAGCTAACGCGATTGTAAAGTTTCCAGCACGCGGACGATTCGAAACCGGCACGATCGTCGGAAGTTTGTGAGAAACGTTTAATTCGATCATTCCCCTCGGCTTCTCAAAGAGATTACTCAGAAATATTCGTCGCTCGAGAGAACGCATTCGAGCGTCGTTTAAAAGTAGGTAATATTGAAAGTTACGAAAAATTCTTACTTACAAGCTCGCGCGTTAAATTGCTGAAGTTGAAGCTGCTTATTATTTTTAACGTTATTTCGTTTTTGTGGCAAAGTGCGCGAGTTTTTTTTTTCACCAATTTGTTTTAATCAACTTTGTAATTATTCAAACAAAAAAAAATCAGAAATCAAACTCTTAAATTAAACTCTTTAATTTCTCTCTCTTCTGCGAACAAGTTTGTGAATTTATAATGTTGAATTGTTCGGAACACGTATTTCTCCAGTTTGCACATGGGAAATAATTTCGTTTCACTGTTGCACACGTACACACATTCACACACCTAATGGAACCGTACTTTAAACATATCTTTACACGCATGCATATATGTAGCCGGGCATAAATATTAGATCGGTTGAGCGGCTTTGCTCATGAGGATAGAACCTTGTTTCTCCGAGTAACGTATGTTGGATAATATAGCGCACATGCCTTAAATATATTTATTACTTCGTATTACGTGCACACAAGTAAAACACATCTATAGTTTACAAGCGCTTGATTAACGTTTGATACGCAACAATGTTGTGCGCAGCGACGTAAATATCGAGATAATTTAACATTTTTGTTGGAATTAGTTCGCTTTATCATACCGCTTAGCTAAGATTGTTGCATTTATTTGAGTTTACACAAACTCAAATAAATGCAACTCTGAATATTGTGTCTGCTGGAATATATTTTTTTCCAGTGACTTTACCTTTAAAAAAAAAAAAAAAAAAAAAACCATCTTACTTTCGTTTTAATATCAATCGCGCATTTTACTGTTTGTCGTGTGCTTCGGTATTAGACCGCTATTGATTCGCGGTTTCTATTCGTTCGCGGATTTTCGATGGCGTGCACGCGCTCAACGGACAATCGCTATATTAAATCTAAGGACAACAATGGATCGCGGTTTCCAATGAGACCGGTTCTGAAAACGATCGCTCCATTACGCCGATATCGTCTATTCGAAACGTTCGTTTGTTACGCGACCAACTAGGTAGCTTTTATGGCATATATTCTCCCGCATTCCATCCAGTAGTTTTCCTCCCCTTCTTTTTTGGAGAATTAATGCTTCTATTCATTTCTCGAATTTCAGATAATGAGAGAGAAGAGAGATACTTCTCTCTTTTTCTATCTCTTCTTCGTTTCGTGTTCGTTTTGTTTTTACTCTCTATAACTCTCTTTGTATTTCTCAACGACCTTTCGCATCTCTTCCGCTCTCGCTTCAAAAGTAACCACCTTGGTTCTCCGTAATATCACGTATTGCGAAGGCATCGCGAAGTCGGCTAACATTGATGTTCTAAATATTAGTCGAAGATGCGCGCTCTAATTCGACACGCAACATCGATCGCAATATCGATCGCCGCGGTCTTTGTGTAATAAAAAAACATTACAAGAACAAAACGTGAAAACTTTATACACACAAAACGCTTTTTTTTTGTCTCGTTTAACTTCTATATAAATCTATCGGAAAAAAAAGCATCAACAAAGAGCGCGATGCGAAGGGAGCTTATACAACTTAAGCGAAACTCAAATGAGAACATAACTTACGCAAAGATTTACCTTTGTGTTAGCCGTTACGTCGCTTTCAAGCATTAAAGAGAATAGTTCGGTTGTAGCATCCCCGCGGCCTGCTTCACGAACGCCTGCTGCAAAACGTATAAAATGACCGAAAGTTAGATTACAGCAAACAAAGCTGAGCAATTTATATTCTGAAGTTATTCCGCAACACATTACGGTCATATTTTTCACACGGGGGAGAAGAAAAAAATGGTAGAAGCTAATAATTCAAACTCGCCGCGTGCAGAAGTTGGACACGCGATTGGTTTGATACAAAGACGCGGTTGTGCCGTGCAAATCAAAGATCGACAGGTGCCGTCGTCACATCAGACGTAAATACGTGTAGAAAAAAAAAAAAAGTATTAACTCGTCTCGTTTGTACGCGTCACTAATGCATCTCGGTTGATACGTAAAACGAATGTTTCATGGACACTGCAAAAACGCGAGACGCAATTTTCAATACGTGGTACACATTTCATTTCATTTTCAGGAGATTACTACGCATGGCTGAGGGACAAGAAACCGACAAATAGAGAAAAAAAGAGAAACGAGAAATTAACGAATATGATGAGTACTTAATCCGTGAAATTTGATTCAAGGATATGGAAAAAATATTGTAGATTGAAGTTTTTTTCTCTCTCTGCGCGTTTTTGTGCGCGCGCGGAACAGCCGAGGCTCTTGCAAAAGTAACAGAGAGACAATATGGAAAATCATGTGTACATTGCTGTGAGACGATATTGCACAACGACCCCGTTTCATTTATTTGCTCTCTGAATAGCAACGCGTCCGCGTGGACGTGCATACGTCACGGGTTATGCAGATTCAGGTATGCGTTTGCATGCACATCGTATTCTAATACGGTATTGTCTTCTCGCTCGCGAATCAACGTTGAATTCGCGCGCGCACGCGCGACTATAACGCCGCGTGTAAATGTGGAAGCGCTTTGCGGTTGTGCGTTTTATTTTTGCGGAGAAAAAAAGATGTGTCGCGAATAACCGACGCGCGGAATATAATTAACACGCTCTGATGTGTGTGTGTGTGTGTGTGTGTGTGTATGTGTATGAGAGCGCGCGCGCATATGCATATATTGAGGACATATATAACTGGGTTTTCGAAAGAAAAGTAGTGAATACGAGAAAAGTGCAAATACGCGCGCGCAAAGTTGTGTCGTTATATACGCGAAAAAGACAATAAAATTGAGACAATATAAATGCAAATGCACCATTAGTCGGTGGAAGTAAAAATGCGCGCTGAACGTCGAGAAGGATCGTGTTGAGAGACTCGGGGGCCGATTAGCTCTTTTTAACGAGAAACGCAGAGAGAAAGAGAGAGAGACAGAGAGAGGGGGGGAGAGGGGAAGGGGTAAGGATGAGAGAGAACAAGAGCGAGCGGTGATGGTTTTTAACGAGAGGCGCGCACTCCGTTCCCTACGTGTCGCATCTATCATCGTTAAGGAGCGCAGCACACAATTTGGTTTAATTAGCTCTTAATTTAATTCAATACCAAGTGCCATTACGAGATAACAGAGTCTTGTGGGCGAAAGAGTGAAGGAAGGGAACAAACAAGATGTACCCCGACCCAGAGAAAGGTAGTTACGTCCGGAACGGACGAGAATGTCCACTTTTATCGTTTCATAAACGAGATTAATGTCACGATCTTCTTTATTGCGCTCGGACCGCGAAGCGCAACCACCGTGTCTCGTTTTGCGCGAGAAAAAGTCCATCCCATGCTCGGTGGTAAGACGCGGAGACTACACTACGCGTAGAGCGGCGAGTTGTTGCTCGCGAACCCGTAGGAAATGGAAATACGCGGAGATGAAAATATACGCCCCAGTTGTTGCGTTTGTTCTGCACGCGCGAGTTACACATCGTCGTGTCGTCTCCGTCCGAACCCCTCGATATCCAGACCGCCGTTCCCTTTTATAAATATTGTTTCGCACTGAAATAGCTCACAACATACACGACTCTCTTTGAGGTCGTGACATTCGGCGACCTGTGTTATTTGTTTGCGATAAAAAGAGAAAAATAAACAAGCAAACAATAATAAAAAAAAAAAAAAAAAAGAATAAAGTTTGTAAAAGGATAAACTCCTTCAGAACTCGCTGAGCCACATTATAAACTTAGATCTGCGTCATATTTATTTTCAACATTTCGAACATTCTTCTCGCATACATTCTACGGAACAAACTAAAAATCGAAAAGAAGAGTAGTTTTAACTGGTGGCTTTTTGTCAACAAACAAAACTTTTTTTTTTTTTTTAATCTATTTGCAACGTAGAGATAATCAGTTCGATCTCGGCTTGAGAGAGAGAGTTTTTTTTCGCGAGCAAAAGCTCATGTGAACTCGCAATTATTTACGACGTTAGCGTAAAGATGAATTTTTATCGTGGTCGACGTGATTCCCCCCTATTGAGAAACGATTCCGCACGAGATCGTTAAGGGAGACTTATTACTATTCCGGAAACGCGGCGCGGCGCAAAATTTATGTCCGGCGCGGTTAGTCCCCGTGAAATTTTCACTTATCCCGCTCGTCTGCACCGTATCTTTTATCCCTAAGGACAAATTGGATAGTACGACGAAAAGAGTACGATGGAAGGGAAACGAGAAGAACTCCATCCAATTTGCAATGCACAGAGAAACGGCCGTGCCTGCTCCGCACCCCGTGCCGCGCTGTCTATATATATATATAGCACCGCACATTATTGTGCGCCCGCGTTTGTGTCAATTTTAATAATAACTTCACGTCGTTTGTGTTTGCGCACACATTCTCTTTCTCGTCGATGGATGAATTGTCGCCCGCGTTTTACTTGTTATATTAAAAAATACAATTCGAGATCCCAGTTGTCGTTTATTCCGTTTACGTGTGTAAAAGTTCCGGGTCATTACGTCTTTTCGTGAATTCGTTCTTTTGCGATTCTCTTACGAACGTTTCGTAACACAATCCGGAATGGTTTTGCAGAAAACTCAAATTTCCGCGGTGCTTTTTTCTCTCACAGATGGAAACAAATTGGCAATCTGGCTACTTTCGGTGAAAGAAACTCGTTCGTGTGTTTCGAGAGAATCGCTTTTTATCGTCGGTCTTTCAACCGCATCGCGACGCGTGCACACACACACACACACACACACACACACAAGCGCAATGAGCAAGTATATTTTCAGAGGACACGGGAAGTAGATATTAACAGCAGCGAGTTTAAGTTTCTCGCATAGAGTCTCGCGAGCGTTAGTGGAGTTTCTTAATTCGTCGTGATAAAGAGAATTTTTCATTAAATCCCGTCGCGCACACACAACGGTATTACACATACATGCAGCAGGTACACGTGGCGGTGGTGGTGGGTACGTCAGGCACTAAAAGGCGCGGAAAGTATGCGCACGTGCAAGGAACTACTGCATCTGCTTGCCGCGTCCGGGACGCGCAGATTTACGGAGAGGCAGAGTGACCTGAATACGTACGAAGTGATGCATTACGCGGCTGCTACTGGCGTATTATGAATTTTCAGCTTTTATTACGACGCGTGTATCCCCCGACGACGGCAGCGTCACGAGCGCCGGGACGCTGCCGACGACGTTTAATCCATTTCGGATTCCGTTGGCCCTCTCTACAAAAGGCGAAGACAGAACAATCGCGCGCGAGCGCGCAAATGTTAGCGAAGGCACAAGCGACGAGAGATAATGGAACCTCTCTTCTAGTTATATATCAGACATAATTCCTCACCGCGTCAGAAAGAGAAAGAGAGAGAGAGAGAGAGGAGAGAAAGAGACACCGGATATTTTAATGTCTGTAAAAATACGGAAATCCAACTTGAGAAGCCGCCCGAAGAAAGTTGTAATAAAAATAAAATGTTTTAGCGGAACCGCGCGTGAAAAGAAAAGAGACTTTTTCACGATTAACATCTACCGTGTGATTTATAAAGTGTTTTCAGATCGATTACGTGCGGAATAGAAAAATTGCTCGGTTCTTTGCGCACAAACGCAACGCGTTAAATCAAGAGAAAGTACATTTGTAAGCTTGTTTAATCCGCGACGCGATCTAAATGTCACAGTTATCGAGCGTAAGGTGAAATTATGCAGACGTTAGCGCGCGCGCGCGCGCACACACACATACACACACACACACACACACACACACATAACAATCGTGCTCGCTTACCGTTCCGGTGATCTTGATATCATCATTTTTTCGAGCAACACCAACGATATTACACGCGAACTGCGAGTTCGCTTGAAAAAAAACAGTCCGTGATGATAATTATTTCGCGTCGCGAGAGAATTGCAGTGTATTTTTTTGTTTGCGAAGAATTAATTTTTTTTATCACGGATATTTTTGCGCTTCGGTTGCGATCGAGTCGATTTAAAAATTCATTGCAATGATACGCGCTGCGACTCTCTCGTCGCACCGTTATATTTGCGGAGCACGCGTAATGCATGCTTGCGGTTCAATTAGTATCGCTTTCGGTAATGGCGTCCCGCGCGCGTTGTGTCGGCGAGAATGACGACGGAAGAGGGAATTTTGATCGCGCGTTTCCGCGAAGGAACTGAAGCTGCGCATGAATAATCATGAACGTTCCCACCTAGCGGAAGCTGACGAGGCCAACAACTATCGGGGAGTCCAAATATATTTACATATTTTCCGTCGCACGCGCATCCCTTTCCTTCCCTCACCCCGGTTACTCGACCATTTCGTCCCGAAAGTGGCTTTATTCCTGTCGGTTATACGCTCCAGGTACTTGAATGATCGCGAAAACAAATATACATCTGCGCAATACTCTCGCACAAAAATAGTGTTATTTATATCGTGTTTTCTCGTTTAGTTTTGTTCGCGTTTAGTTTTTGTTTAATACTCGGATGCAAAAACATGTGTGCAAAAATACGCGCAAGTTTTATCTGAAAATCCGACAGCTTTGTAATCCCACTTTCAGGAGCTATATATTTTGAGCAACGAGTTAATTATTGCCATTTCGAAACGCCACTGACAGAGCTTTTGCTTTGTTTCCCTCGTGCTTATACAAAGTTTCGGATGCACAGAGAAGTGGCAGCGAGTGGATTCCTCGTCTTTCGCGAGAGTAGAATTTCTGTACACAATGCTGCGTT